CCCAAACGGGCAAAACCAATTTACCCAAATCCTATACGAAAACCAATAAACAGAAAAATTGACTGAAATCATTGAAATGGGAAAAAGGGTGCAAGTTTATACCTTTCTTGGCCGGCGGTGTCCCAAATCTGGGCCTTGACGATCTTCTCATCAACGTGGATGCTCCGAGTGGCGAACTCGACGCCGATGGTAGACTTAGACTCGAGGCTGAACTCGTTGCGCGTGAACCTGGACAAAAGGTTGGATTTTCCAACACCAGAGTCGCCTATGAGCACCACCTTGAACAGGTAGTCGTAGTCGTCATCTGCTCTGTAGGCCATGCCTCCTCCCTCTCCGCTCCAAATTCGACTCGCGGGTTCGGTCTGATTGCCGGGTCGGATCCGAAATGGGTCGCCGATTTATATCAATTGGAAGAGCGACTCGGACTCGGAGACATGGAATGAAGGAGGACTTGTGAGGGAGCGTGTGAAAAAGGGGAAGACAGCGACTTTATGAGCCTCTACTGTTGGTGGCGATGATGAGATATCAGATGATATTGTGAGAGAGAATTATTAGATTGTGCTATGTGGGCTCTCAGATTTTTGAGGCCCAGTCAATTTTTTTTTACTGCTGGGCCTGCACAGTCAAAGTTATTTATTTATTTATATATGTATTTGTCAATATTCTTGTAAATAAAAAATAAAAAAATTTCTCACTCGATTATGTTATGTTAATTAGGAAGAGCAGAAATGTTCTTTTGTCATACAGTCTAGGTTAATTGTGTTCAGTGTGTATATTTGGACAACTAATTAGATTACGTGTTAGCCAAATGTGTGGTTCACATTTGTAAACGAATTAAAATACAACAAAAGTTCACAATCTGACGACATATATAATTAAGCTTATAGTATGTGAGAGCTAGTAGGAAACGCTTTTTCTGTTATCTATTTTAATACATAGTGCAATAACGGTTGAGTCAGAGTATTTTTTTTTCTTCTTCATAATGGCGCTCGTGTTTTTTTTATACAATGAAGTGGAGTTTTGAAGAACTTTTATTAGTGAAGAGTCTGAAGGACAATTTGGTTTATTTCAATCGAGCACTGTAAAAGGTTTTTGGTTATCTAGAAATACTTTTAACATTGTAAAAAACACTGCTAAATACATCCTTAGAAGAATCTCTCTCTCTCTCTCTCTCTCTCTCTCCATTTGTATAGATATTGTAAACGACGCCATTTGGAGGGTATGCAACAAGTATTTCCTATATAATAAGGAGTCTAACTGTCAACTTAGCATCATAGACTTAGCTCCATTTGGACGATGTCTACTGATTGTGAGGAAGACCACAGTGAGAAATATTGCATGCAAATTGTAATTTATAAGCTTTTCTGGCAAAACTAGGAGATTCCATATGCACACATTTTCCCATGAATATAAAGCACAAAAAGAAATCTCATCCCGGTCCAACAGGAGATATAATATTGCACATGCATTTTCAGCATCAACTCAGTTTTGATTGCTTGAAATGTAGGTAAACCAAGATGACCAATGCCTTCATAACTTCAATTTGATTTAGATGGATGGATGGAGCTTGTTGATGAGATGAAATAAAACCAACCACAAGTCCATCACCACAATTAATGTTCATTTAAATGTTATATTAAGAACGTCTAATTGCCATGAGCCCCTCCTTTGAGAATAGTGTAGGATGGCCAGTTGGTGAGTGGTGAGGGCAGTGAGCCCGTGCCCCTTACACCCAAGTTCAAATCCCCCTCTCATTAGATTAAATTAATTTAGACTATCGCTTCTATTTAAAAAATTAAAAAGGAATAGTGTAGGATGCGTTTTAGGAATTCAAAGTCGTTTCAAAACCACTACATTAATTAATTTTCCAAGCAAAAATGAAATAACAAATAATAAAAAAGTGCATCCATGCGTGTATGGCACATTAACACTGCATCAGATGTTGATGTTTTGTCCATTAGGTCAGGAGGCTGCAGGACCATCATCTCCAAACCCAAGTGCTTTCTACCTCGTGACCCAAGTCTGCCTTCTTACCCACAACTATCATCACCACATTGGAGAGAATGAATGAGTATGAGATTCACTAGCTCCTATCCAATCTGAATCATATGATTTTTCAAGTATTGGATTACGCATTGTACATTCCCTACCATCACCGAGAAACAACGTACCCTCTATATTCATAGGAGTTGTCTCATCTCAACCACCCCTCTTGATTTACTATTTGTATGCACAAAATGTTTTCAAGAATATAAAGCAGGAATATATATATATATATATATATATCGATATCGTCCTAGTCCTACAGAAGATATTTGCACATTATGTTTCGGAACCCAATTTTGATTGCTTGAAATGCAGGGAAACAAAGAAAAAATGGTTAACAATATGATCAAAATTTGATTGGACAAACTCATCTAGTTCTTTGTTTAAAGTTTGAACAGATTCGAACCGAATTTTGAACGTGTGTCTGCAAAAACATGAGCAAGTCCCTCTCATTTTCT